TCACGTCCTGAATCTCATTCAAGGACATAAAGCGCCTCCAACCTCCTCGACCAACTTTCGCACTTCCTGCTTGCTGATGCCAGTCGATGAATCTTCAGCACCAAAACCAGATGGTTCAAGCTTGGAAAGAATCTTCTGCTTGGCGTCCAACACCTCTAGCATGTCGCCCACCTCGTTGCTATCCGGCGAGTAAGATGGAGACAAATACACCAAGAGAGCAAGGGAAGCGACGAGCCGATGAACTAAGTCAGAGTAAAAACCATTCAAAAAAAAAGCATTGGAACGAATAGTCGAGATATAAAAACTTACCAACATCCTCGCTTTCCTTCTCCCTCTCAATAGCCTCAAGCAAAGCACAAGCCAGCTCAGCGTCCTCCGCTCCACTTCCATCCACCTCCCTTCTCGCCAGCTCATCCCAATACGCATCAGAATCCTTCACACTCGCGTGTCTCGCAGCCGCGATATTAAATGCAACGCTCGCAGCGGAACTTCGTACCGAAGAATCGCTATGCAACAGCCCTGCGACCAACACAGGAATCGCGATGGATTTCTCACGAGAGGCTGTTGCGGCGTTGGGAAAGGCAAATGTGTTGGCAGCGAGACGGAGGATGGTGAGTAATACAGGTTTAGGGACGTCAGAAAGAGAGCCAGGATTCGTCGATTTATCGATGTACCCTGAAATTTTCTTTTGTAAGACCGCCGGAGCGTTCGTCGACGCAAGTCTGTTATCAAGGACGGCAAGACGCCAGAGATCAACGAGGGGGAAGAGTCCAACGGGTGGAATGGTGTCTGCGAGCGCACTTGTCATTTCCGACCATTCCTTCACTTGCTTTGTGGTGACGGGAACGTCGACGTGTGATTTGGACGTGGCTGACGTTCCGGGAGGGAAACGTTGCTTGAGGAAGGCGGAAAAAGAGGAGGTGAGAGTGGATTTGGCCTTGATGACAGCGGCCGGACGATTAGATTTGGCATCAATTATAGACGTGAGGCGCGTGATAGGAACGTCAATAGAGGTAGGGACTTGGGAGAAAAGGATAGGAGATAGGGAGATCGCTCGGGTTGCAGGCAATTCAAGGCTTCTATGAGGGTGTGCTATGACCCCAAATAACAATCAATGTGATTTCCCGGCATCAATGAACGAACTCGCACTCACGAGGGAAGGCTGTATTCAGGAAACCTTCGACGGGCGCCCTGAGCTCCGCTATGCTAGGCAAAGCCGACTCCGATATCTGCCTCATTCATGTAAGAATGCAATGCACGACCGCACCACTCCAACAGGCTACGTACCTTCTCTCCTTTCAGAAGGCACAGGACGCTAGGAATGTTCCCGACATTCCACTTCTTTATAACGTCCTTGGCATTGCCAACACTGGCATCAACGCTGACAAAAGCAACCCTGTTCAAATTGGCCTTCTCCTTGGCAAGAGCTTCGAAGGCAACTTCTAGCTTCTTCTCAGAAGGCAAGTTCTGTACAAATAGTGCAATAACGCCTCTATGCTTCTCCAATATAGACTCAAATGATGCTAAATTTGTTGAGACAAGTAGGTGAGAGCTAAGTGACGATAGACTCGGTTGCGTCCCTGCAGCAGCAGGTCCAGACACGGCTCGAGCAGCAACATTTTGTAATAGCGAAGAGCCAACACTAGGAGAGGGAGTTTGCGCGGGGGCAGGGTACGTCTGGGGAGGTGAGACCCCAACGGCGCTCGGTGGAGCGCGACGATACATGCTATCAATCATGGGGCGCATTTGTTGACCCAAGGGAGTGGAAAGGAACTGAGCAGGCAATTCTGCATCGCAAATTAAGCGTAAGAATAATGTTACGGAAAAATACATCTCATCTGCAATTACCTCTGATGTGAGCGGGGATGGTCCCTCCTGTGAGGAAACCAACCACGTCGTTCGTGAAGCTATTGCAGTTGAACTCTGAGGGAACCGTTAATCAAGCTAACCTCATGGAAATTCGGATTGGTTTCCGTACCTAGAAGATGATACTAGAAAATAGCGTTCCAACCGTCTTAGCCGATATGGTACAACTGCTTCCCAAACTCACCTTCTCGGCTGTATAGTGGCCCCTTAGTTCATCGATATAGTCATCATATGTAGCCTGGTCTATTTCTGTCTCGCCCATATCATATACATGAAGAGGCGACCCAAGCTATCCGAGATATGGGTCGACGTCAGCCTTGGTCCCTACCCACCCATTTCACTTCGGAATTGGAAGATAGTACCCACAAATGTCGTGCCAGGAGCAGAGGTAACTATCCCTGGTCCATAATGTATTTCCTTGCCAAAGGCAACGACGGACGTATGCCTTTGAGAGTCAACATTTTTTCAAATTGACAGAACGACGAAACCATGTGAAGGGATGGTAGACGTAAGAAGCTGCAATTCTGTGGCCAGGGAGCAAGGACTGCAAACCGACGTACCATATCCCATCAATCTGGCCTCCAGTTAGAGGGGACATGGCACGAGCCATGCCACGACTAAGATCGTAGACAAATAGTTTTACCGGGCGACCCATATGATGGTCCCAATGAAAGATGAACGATTTGAGGGCTTGGCGGGCGCCTAGGGATTGTCACAAAGACTATGCTGCCTTAGGTTCAAGGCTTAAGTACAAGACCAGGATAATGATCCCCAGGCGTCAGGGGTGCATACGCAAGCACGTTCGAGAAAAGGGAGGAAATAAATACAAACTATTCCGATCGAAGGAACGCGTCACCTTCTCACACACACGTGGTATCAAATGTGCTGTCAACGCGAACAAGCTCCATCGTTGCCGGATCTTCCAGGCTGCAAGAAGAGCGCCAATGGGGAGGATGAGTAAGACTGTCTGAATCATTTGCCGACCACAATGCCACAGTCGAGGGACAGATAACTATCATTTGGGAACAATATTATCCTGCCTTTCTGAACTATCTCCGCTAATACATCGCCATGCCGCCCTTAATTGGAGTGCTTTGCTTTTCTCAATTTGTCTCCCAATGGCCAGGACTGCATCCATTCAAGGTAATACGTACCCTGGCTTCAACCAGCTCCTGCGCAACGACATCCCTGCGCCCGACTCGTACAGAATATTCAGAAACTAAATCGAAAGAAACACGAGGCGAAAGCGGGGAATACATGCTCTGGACCTTTTCTAGACCCTTTTCTTGCCTGACAAGGGTTCGAGGGGAAGGTCACAAAAATCACGCCAATAGTCATTAGAACATGAAGGCAATACTAGCTGTGTTCAAGACGTGCACAAGGATGTTCATCCCTTGAATGGCGGCACTTTCTTTCTCATATTCATCTCGGGACCTCCTCTGAAGCCGACTGAGTCTCTCGACCCGAATGGTATGGCATGCAAACACAGCGACAATCTCCCCATTACCTCATCAGTCCGCGTAATGGCCGTGGAAATCCGTTTCCCGGTAAATCCTCGCGTAGTGGTATGTAGAAACAAGAACATTATCCAAGACCTGACAGTCACGTCAGAGAGAGATCCGGAGGAGAACGCCGAGGCTGTCGAGCCCTAAGCAGGCATGGAGAACGCGTTCTCAGCGGAGTGTGTGTAGCTACCATATGAGAGTGCAATAGAAAGAATTAATACTGGAATCCGGACAGCAGGCCGACAACGCAACAGCATGAACACAGATAGTTGGAGGTAAGATGCATAGTGACTTCTCGCAACAGCGGTCCAGTGGCCAACTCGTACTGTTGTGGGTGACTAGCTGCGGTTCAAGGTGGCGAACGAAAGTGGTTCTCCGAGACGCGCCAGTTCATACTGTTACAGGACCTGTGATAAGTAGTAGTATGAGCACGATGTTGGATATCGTGCCCTTTCGGAATCCATCGCAGTTAGTGGTGATGGGCCACATCAGGTCACCTGTGACCTGGCCCTACTTACTGGGCCACAGCCTGCACAGGTACCCGTGCAGGACAAAAGGAGAGTTAAGAATGCAGCTCGGACTCGCCACGTCGGTCATAGAGTGCCGTGGCTCGCCAAACCTTTGGCCATCTGGGGCGTCAGGCTGCTATTAATTCCCAACGCACACGCCGTGACGTGCACAGGAATTGTTTATGTAAAGAGGTCCGGAGGTAACGCGATCATGCAGGGAACGATGACCCCGACGAACCATTGATTCTCCATCAATGTCCAACCCATCTGGGATTGTCCGAGCATCTGACTTCGGGTATTTCCCTTGCCCCGATTGGAAGGCCGGTCATTGATCGCGCATTGGTCTCTTGAGTCAACCCGATCAGGCTTGCAGTACTATGTAAACTTGGATGAACGGTTTTTTGTTCCTCGTAAAAGGAGTAATTAAGCTTACAAACCCCGAGCTATGAGTAGTGGAGGTTCGTATCTGTTGTCGCACGCTGGTCATGGTGGCCGTTTCGTATCGCCTCTACAAAGCTCTCTACAAGGCTCCATCCTTAGCCGCCTCCCAGAGACATGACAACAAGGCAAACATACGTGAAAAGTATATGACTACAGTCTCCAAGCACCTCTGCGTGAGCCCCGAAATATCGGGGCTTGTCGCTCATTGACCGGGCGTAACCCTCCTGAACAATAGTGGCACTCCCATCCTACCACTTTTGTCTCTCAAACCCTCTTCCCTCTTCAGGACAGAGTGTGAACTCCGCGGTGGGATGTCGGACTTGTTCATGTCAGAGCGGCGCATTTGGGTCACCGTTCGCCAACCTCAGTCTGACCAACCCCTGCCTTCCGTTAGCCCTTGCTTCCCTTCTCCTTCGTCGCCAGAAGGCTTGGGACACTACCTCCGCGGTGTCGGAGCTAGAGGGCTTAGCGTAGACTGATGATGCTAGTGGAGATTGATCTTCGTTCATATGGGGATTACGACAAATGAAATTCGAGCAGATGTGCCTGCTGACTTTGCCGAGCGGGCAGCGCTTAGGTGATATTGCACTCTTGGGGAAACCTCATGGGTTCGTTGTTGATCCCACGTACGGTGCGGAGAGTTCACTTTAGTATCGGTGGAGCACACACCCAGTCCTTGGCGGAGGTACGTGCCTATCGGAGACAAAGCTGGTACGTAAGTTAGTGGACTGAAGAACCGGCGTCTGATGGGAACCCCAGTAACAGTTCGCACCCGAACAGAGACATTGTGTTCATATTTGCACTAACCCGACAATACCCATTCATGAGTTCATAAGGCACATATCCGATGATGAGTACATGCGGAGGTAGAACTGAAGTAGAGGATGCTCAGACTTTCCATATTTGGCTTCAACTTGAGAAATCAACTCCGCCCAACGACCGCCATGGCGTATAAGAGGTGCGCTTGTGGACGGCTTTACCAGCTTTCTCCTCAGGTTCCAGCATAAGCACGGTAGCCTGACCAAAGCACTTAAAACAAGTTCCCCACTCAAACCTTTCCAAAGTCTTTCATCGACACCTTCCCCATCGTATCCATGGATTCCTTCACTGCTATCACCTCCTACTTCTTCACCTCCGCTCAGACCGCAAAGGAGGACATCCGCATCGAGACCATTGAGCCCGTCGACATGGACGGTTCTGGAGGAGGTTCCAGCGGTTGTGTTGTTGTTTGAATGGCAATCTCCGTTTTTGCATGATGTGGAAGTGGTACGTGCTCCCTTTATCCTTTCATGTAACCTGTGAAGCTGACATCTCTCTTGCTTCCTTTCACAATAGATCACACCGCTCGCTCTGAATAGCATCCCTCCCACGCACATTATCGCTTTCGTTCCCCGACCTCCCGGTCCCTTGCGCTACCCATTTTCGGGCCATCCCACCTCATTTCATCAACTTGACTTATTCTTATCTTCGTTCTCCATTGTGGACTCTATGGTGGTCGTCGCCTTTTGGTCTTTCGGATTTCGTTCATGCTGTGTCTGACCATTGTTGAGATGTATGTAACACTTTTGTGATTGTTGCGCCTGTTACTACACCTGTCTTGTTTTCTGTTCAATCATGTTTGTAAATCACAAACTGCCTATCCATTTGGTGTGTTCGAGCCATTCCGTCCGAACGGAAAAAGTCCCGTCGACCTATCTCTGGACAAATATGTGTAAATACAAGTTCCGAGATTAACTCCAAACAAAACTCGCATGGAAGGTCGGGCTGTTGTGTCTCCTTCGACTTATTCAAGGATAGGTTTGATTTGTGGTGTCCCTTGGCCAGATAGGCAGCCAAGTTGGAACACCATAATATTGACCTTCATGTCTCGACTATGTAGAACCAACGACCTTCACTCAAATGCACTTGTTGACAAGACTAGAGACCAAAAAAACCTGCACATCTGATTTGGTTGACCATATATTAGGATTAGGATCTTGATATGATCGACGACTTAGGGAAAGAACAGCGTTTGTGATCGGCACCGCTGCATAGAGACCAAAACGTCCGGCAACCTGGGTTGCCCACACGCAAGGCTACAGGCGCTAAAACAGCAATATCCGATTTGCCCTCGGCTCTGGCGTTGTTTTTCTTGGATCAGCTCTAGACCCAACTGGTCGCTCATCCAAATCTGACGCGTAGACCTTCCTTGTATCCTGCCGTAAGCAGAGTGTGACAGAATCTCCCATGCGACCTCTATTTGGGGTCGTTCGTTCTTTCTTTCTCTTTTCTCCCCCAGTTCTCTCGGCGCCCGCACTCGAGATTAAAATTAGTTCTTGATTCACGTCAAGTCCATAGTTATTCACGCTATGTTCACTAACTAGATCCCACCTCTGCACTTTCGTCATAGTTTTCAGAGACTTTCAGGAGCAAGAAAATGGACAACAGGAATCCGAGAAGACCAAAACCATGTCTCATGAAAATATGAAAATCTGATTCTGAAGAGTGTCATCAAGCCGCTGGCCAGTGCTGCCATAAGTAATTCAACGATGATCGAGACGAATAGAACTGAGCCGAGGCGCTGTGCGAGCTATAGGGGTAGCCCCAAGTCCACGAGCGAGAGTGAAAGTTGGGCGTCTTGGTCATCCAGGGAAGTTATTCGCGATGGTTTTCTTGGACGCTTTGTGCTCAGTGGTTTGGCTCCTCTAGAAGCCCCTGTGGGTCTAACTGTCTATCTCTCTAACATATCTCATTACTGTCTCACAGTCACTATGCAGATTGCTCTTCCCAAAGCCACAAATGGAATCCAGCATCATGTTTATTGGCTCTTCCTTCCTATCTGTAATGCCCCTATTATATGGACTCTACTTCCACTACGTCCCCCATCGTCGTAAAGCTTGGAGACGATCCTTATTACCCTAAACTCATGGCCCTACACGAGCGCATCGAAACTGTCCTCCCATCTGAAATTCTGACACCGAGGAAAGCAGTTCAAGGCCTGGCGATTTACGATAAGAAGAGCCACTATTGAAATTGCCCAATGATTTTTGTAGGAAACGCGAAGGAAACTGCTGATGGGCTTCAGGGCTTCAGCTCAAAGGTCCGCGGTACGGTTAATTGCCTCCCATTACATAATGGACAAGGATGCACCCACATTACAAGCCCCCCGCGCTCTCATCAGCTATATAGAAAAAATTAACAGGACAACTCTCATTCATCTGCATGATCTCTTCGAGGATTTGTTTGTCACTTCCTCCCGAAATTCCTTAACAACGCCGAGTTGCAGTGCGCGCGCATAATAACGATCTCGTCCCATACTTCCTTCAAGCTTCAGATCACTTCGAGTCGCACTTGCAACGGCTGCTCGTAAAAGCCCAAAAAAATCTAGACATCTGGAGAACTTGGGGCTAAGGATGAGTGGACCAAGCATGAGAACGTAACAGTGACACGAGAAAGGATGAAGTGGCGAGTCTTTCTACCAGTTGAGATGAATAAAACTAATTGCTCGGGACCGCGTTTGTTAGTAGCTTGCGTATCTTGGACTATCTTCGGAGGCAACCGTGACCGTTTGATTTCCACGTTGAGCTCTTTAACTCGTTCTCAACATATCTTCACAAGCGCACAGCCGAGTTTCTGGAGTTGATGAAATTGCACAATGACCTTCAAGTTGACGACTTGTGGCTGAGCCTCTGATCAGTACGCTAATTGCTGGGGCCTCGGACTCGGGTAATTTCGCCAGAGGACTGACAAGCAAACTCCCACTCGAAGTACATATAGAGAGCATAAGAAGTGTGTGACGAGGTCGACGTCGTTGAGACAAGTGTAAGTTTGTTCGGTGGTTCAATTGTAACTGCTACGCTGTAACGCTGCAGCGCTTCTGGCCAGAAAGTTCCCACATCTCGAACTGAGGCATGATTTCTTGTTTGCAGTCCTCAACCCATGTAACGGGCCAGCCGCAACTCTGGACTTTCTCTCTTGGACATTTCTTTTTATCTCCGTTTCCTCGTTCATGTAGTCTGCATTGACTCGGAAATCTTGCATGTTTCTTGCATGTCTCTCATGTTTCTCCAGCCTCAAATTATATGTCCTGGTTGGCCCCCACGTATACAGAGCCTGGTTGCATGACCAGTGAAGACTGAAGCTTGAACTGGCCAACGCAAGTCACTCCCTAATCAACCTCTTGTCTTATCCCTCTACCATCTCGCTCTCAGCCCGATTCTTGATCTTGTCGCGTCATTTTTTCAGTTTCCACGTTTCATCGTCATTTTGGTTCGTGACGCGCCAGGTACGCCGACGTAACTAGCATTCGTGGGCATCAAACTTTGAACTCGTTTCACATGGATGCATAATAACAGCTAAAACTCCAGCGTCATACTGGCACGATCCGACATGCATGACTTCACTATCCGACGCTGGGCTTAATTTGACGGGACTAATCACCGGATAGCGCCCCACCCCAAACTGCACATGCGTTGCTTCGCCTGCATGGACCTCGTCCTCCTTGTATGTTTCTGTGCTTGGCTGCTTTTGCGTTTGTGATGATATTCGTTCTCATCTCGTGTGTACCGATCCTGAAATGTATGTATACTGGCTCAGCTCAACACGGACGTGCCAGCAGAAGTGTCGAGCTCAGTGCGTGGGGTCACCACCCAGGACATCTGACCGCCACCATATATGAGCTTACAGTACGCTTCTGGGAACTGAGTTAGCAGTACACTTGGGCTGCTCGCTTTTTTTTTCATTTCGTGTTGAGCAGAACTCATTTGAACGAGCGCTCATGGAGTACCGGTGTCTAGGCGTACTAGTTGCCAGTGCCATCACTGCTATAATACCGTTCGCTTTGACCATCCTGTTTTTGCTTGTCGATCTCCTTCCCCCGTACTCGACCGTGCCTGCGCAAAACCAAGCCCACGTATTCGTTCTCGCGCGCTACTGCCTCGGAGCGTTCTGCTGTCACGCATACGATTCTTTTAGTGTGTCTTATGTTTGAATTCTTGTTTTGTTCTTTCCCCTCATATTCAATATCTTTTGTCTTACATTCACACCAGGATTCCGCGTTGCCGCTATCGCCTAATCATAAGTACTGACCACCCCAGCCGGCGTTCCCTCATCAGGGCATCTGCCAACACTGGTAAACACGGTAGCGCAAGTCGGAGCCTGAGGATCCAGTCCCTGTGCAGCGGTGCCATTGGGAAACGACGGTTAGCGCTCGTAAATCGTCAACCAGCCGATCGTAAGATGCCCCCAATACGCAGATTTTTGCTGCAAAGCTTGTGCGCAAACGGGCAGGGCGCTTAGTCAGAGTAGCGTACCCGGTAGTACAATAGAGTCGAAGACGCAGAAAACGGATAGAGGAGATCAACGGACGGCGGTAAAGTAGCACCGGACAGGAGATACACGAGGGACAACATAAGAAACAAGAAACGAAAAGTGAGAAACGACAACTGTCATAGGGGTACTCTTTCGCTAGTGAACAATAATGGATTGTCGCGGAGAAACTAAAAAAAGAATAACTAATTGACATGAACGGAAAAGATAAGTGAAAACTGAGGCGTAGGTACGTTGCAGGACCACAGGATAATCAGATCAGCAACCTGGATTTAGGTATGATGGTGACGCGGCGTTGCTTACACCAAAGGAAGTAACGCAGAGCTCAATAGGCGTGCATCTCAGTCTAACCAGTGCAATGAAAAGTAATATTGTACACAACTACCTGGATAAATACACGTCTGCTGAGATAGGTGAAACAGAGTGGAACGGATCCCAGCACGAATTCAGGCAAAAGAAAGGAACTGTACTTACAGTCAACATGCTTCTAGTGCACCATATGACGGAGCTGAGCTATAAAATCGACTAATGTAGGGGGAAGCTCCCGCCAGTGGCGTAACCCAATGTTAGTGGCGAAAAATACACGAGTGGATCTGATCAGCTTACCATGAAATGTGCTCCTTGCCCAACAATGAGGGAAACATAAGATGTTCCTGGACATGTAAGGATGTCAGCATGAGTCTCAATGTGAGAGGAGAAATGATACTTACGGCCAAACCTGTTGGGTGGACACTATGCGAGCCAACTGGCTCGCAAAGTTCCACCCTAACAGGAAAGGGGCATGGACAACAGGTGCAAGCGCCTGTGGGAACATGTCCATACCGATGCCACGAGGGCGTCCCGCCAAAGTGTCCCTCTCCCACTCTCCCGAAATAAACGGGACATACCGCTGCGTGAACGAGTTCAATGAATATTGGTTGCTAAGAAAATCATGATACGTACTCGTCATATGACGGAAGTGATGTGTTCGCCGCTTCTGTTGGAAGTATGACCCAGAAATAGTGATTGATGAGCTACCCAAGAAGAGAAAGATCCAGGACGAAATACACATAAAGAAACTTGGCGACAGGGTACTCCAAAGGAAGTGGTTGTGACCGAAAGGCTGGAAGGCTGAGAGCTTGAAGGGAAACGGCCCGGGGCAAGAGCATACGTCGAGACCAGGTGACAGAAACAACATGTTGGAGCGGAAAGGAAGGTGGGTCGTTCTTTCTCACTGTGCATCCATCGGATAGAAAAGGGAAAAGGGCGTGTATGGGTTCCTGCACCTCTGCTTTGTTGTCCATTCTCCTTTGTCGATGGAACCTGCAAAGCGCGTCAAATCTGTAAGGTGTACAACGGGTCATCGGAGTCCATGGGCAGCCCAAATGGTCATAGAGGGAAAGCAGGATGTGTAGACTCGATAACCAGTAAAACTGATCCACAAGCAGTTCGCCAAAGCAGACACGGCCAGGTTGCATGAAGATGAGAGCTGTGATCATAGGTCGTGAAGACAGGCGACGACTAGAGTTCCGGGAGCAAGGGCGCAGGGAAAAACGAACTGGCAGACTGGTCAGAACTGCGAGCGAAAGCGAGTCGTGCTCCGCGGTTGCGCATCCATCGGATTGAAGGGGCCCCATGTGTCCTTGCACTTGATTCAGTTGGTTGTTGTTCGCTTCCTAGACGATGGAATCCACAAGGCACGTCGGTCACAGGTCGATGAGAAGGCCAAGGTGCCAAAGTGCAGTAAGCGAAGAAGATCGACAACCTACAAATCATCTAAAACGTCAGAGTTGTTGCGTAATAGGCAGGGAACCTGTACAGAAAGGGACTTGAAGGATCGCAGATGGTTCGAATGGCAGCATGGGTAACGCGCTAAGGGTATCAAGTGAAGGGGTAGAAGATCGATGGGGGAACGTCAACGTGGACAACGAGTGGGACATCGAGGGCCTTGATTCATGAGGTGAAAGAGGTTCAGAATGGCCACAGACCAGGCTTCGAGAGACAATCCAAGGACGTCAAAGGCGAGTAGCGACTGGGGTTCCGAGAGCGAGGGGGGAGAAGAAGGAACTGGTGGGGAGAACTAATGCTCAGACCACGCTTTTATGCCTCTCAGACCTATTCAATCCTCTCCTCGTGATGACCAAGCTCCAGACTGCTGAAAGAATGAATAAAACCTTCCAAATTCAGCCACCTTCTTCGTCGAAATTCCAACTGGCGATATGAACATGATCCCAGAATACGTAGTTGATATTTCACAAAATCCGAGATTTCTCGTCAGCCAGTGCACCGTTTAGCTTTGTTCAACTGCGAAACTGCTCCCAAAACGTCCCGCTACAATATCCGTGAGCAGGAGATTGGGGGACGATACAAGGTGACACCAGGAGGGCCTGTTGGGAAGACGTATTCACTCTTTGGCTAGGAAGATGGCTAGGAAAGATCCGGTCATCAAGGCGATGCATCAGCATATTAGCCAGATTGGTTATTCGTATTAACCGAATTGACTGTATATAGAAGAATTTGCGCACCCCTGACAGGTCATGCCCCGAAACCATCGCTGCACTGGGCCGAAAAGTTTGCCGCATGCCTGGATATACCGGGACCTTCGCTGAAGAGTGTAGCGGTGCACGGTGTCGCCGACGCCACTTGGTGGCAAAGAAAACTCCAACCGACGCTTCCACGAATGCGACATGGACCCTTCAGCTGCTGTTAGGGCAATATTTCGTAAATGAGATCAAGTATCCAGATCTTCCCAGCCGATTCAGTCAATTCCAACTTGGTAAGGGATTTCTCCCGAGACACAGATCATGAACCATCTCATTCCGTTTATGATGAGCGTGGAGAAATGCTCATACAAAGTTGAACGATTGGAAGAGGACAGACCAGATGAGCTCGCGATCTGGTGTTCGAACGTTGCGGAAACTTTAGGAAACCAAGCCCATCTCATCAAGAATGCTACCCAAAAAACGGAGATATGTAACAAAGATTACCTAAGTGTTAGCTGGCATTGTGATGAATGAGGAAGGTTCGTTCCCACCGGCTGCCCTGCGCTGAATGGATGGACATTGGACCCACACTCCGGGTCCGCCACGTGCCAAGGGCACAAGGTGCAGCTGCACCAGACATCACAAAACACGCCAATGGCAAGCCGCATTCAGCAGTTGCAGAAGTATACGTCTAGCTGGGGAAAATTTTTTAAATAGGAAATCTTGTGGCGAGCGCTTACAGTCCCCTGTGTGGCGAGATGGTTTCTCGGCTTATACACGTTGAATCCATACCTGATAAAGTTACCCCCAATTATAGGCTTAATTTTAGCATCCATGAACAGCTTCTGTTCATTACAAAATGAGTGGTGGAACGCCGACGTAAGTCTCGTCATTAGCCTTTTCGCTGTATCTGCCACTGAAGCCAATGGTTCCAGGGCCGTACCCGTCTACCGTATTGGCTGCACCATCTGATCAAACGAAGCCACCCCTTCGACCCACTCCTGCCGTGCGATCGAACATTACATATCAAGGGTGAAGGCTGCGTGCGATGTAAACGCCACTGGTGCTCTCAAGGAATGATGCGACAATTTCCGAATGCCTGAAATTTGTCAATAGACATCAAGTCAATATGGGGATCGCGAAAGATCAACATCTCTGCTTTCACTGGAATGGAGAGATACTCTGCCCCTCCATTCCCGTGAACAACGGAGATATTGGCCTTCAGGTCACATAACGACTGATGGATATCGAACACACCCGTCTTGTCCTAAGAATCGAAAAGCCCGCAGAGTCGCAACTCATGCGCAGCAAATGACTCGTTGTGGTGCCCGTTATTAGCATGGGTGCTAGTCAGTTCAGCATGAGCAACTCCAATCATGTTTCGACTCTGAACGCTGACGCATATTTCCCGGTTACAAGCATAAACATCGTGCACGAGCCCCAAGGTGATCGTTCTATTCTGAGACATACCGCGACCAGGTCTGAGAAAGTTTCCAGAACTTGATGTCGTCTCAACCACCAGCTGGAGTATGGCTACTTCTCATAGAGAGACGCCTGATCGATTTCCGTTCATCTTCAAGGATGAATGTCCTGTGCTGCGAGAGGGATGGAACCTGGAAACGAGGAGAGAGAGAGATGACTCAATACTCTGAATGAAAGTTCCTTCCATACTTTCTTATCCAACTCGTTCGAGCGTTGGAGGACTGCAGCATGTTAGTTCGCCTGCTAACGACAGCGATATGGACTATTGTAGCTGTTGTTCCGTCTCCTCACCTCAAAAGTGACATCCTGGGGGAGGTGAAAGCTTGTTGAGGTGCATCTTCAATTCCGTGATCTCACTGGAACGATACCCTCTCACTCTCGTGCATGTGAGGCCAAGGCATTGTCCTGGCCCAACCATTCTCCCTCCCATCCAGGCGCTTCTACCGGTAGGAGACGGAGATGCCCCGACACTGCCCGAACTTCCGCGCCTGGTTCACGTATGAACAGTCTTGTCTATTCCCTAACCGAACCACCCGTACCGCTCCGTGCGAGTGAGTGTTCGTTTCCACCATGCGAGAATAAACGTGTGCGATTCGAGTGAACGCACAGAAAAATCGTTGATTTGTTGAGCTCTGATTCAATTCAGGACACCCGGCAGCTAGCGTGAGTATGCAGAATGCAGAAATTTTACTTGAACCCGTTTCCACCACCATTCTGTCTTTTCGTTTTGGCGACCGCTTCCGCGCCCCTACACCGATCTATGCCCAACTCGTCAATTTATTGACTTCCTACAAGACTCGCTTGCGTTTTAGTGGCCTCAGACCTGTTCTTCTTTCTTTCTGCTTACAATCCGCTGGATTGTTTCGATTCTCTACCCGCAAACACCCATATCCATTACTCTACAAGTGCCTAATGAATCTCCCATGAATCTCGAGTACAATTACATAAATTAGAACCGGGTCATCCAGGCTTTGGAGTACAAGGTCCTCCAAAAACTCCCTCCTAGCCACGATAGTCGAGAAACTTGATTCGCGATCCGAGGGTTCCCGCTTTTCCCGGGTGGACGTGCCAAACTTATCACTCCAGGTGGTCGCTTACACTGAACGGCCCTGTCATTCATTGTTGGTCTTTTGGCTGCTAATTGCTCATGGCCCAGCCGAACCCAGTGGTTATGAAGCGCTGCAGCCAGTGTCCTGGTGAAGGGGGGTCTCCTGAAGAAGGCATGACTAGCTAGTATCGTCTTGTCAGCTCATCTCGAAAGATCCAGGGGGTGCCGCTGCCGCGCATCGAAATGAGTTGCCCGACTCGGACGGTTATCATTCGTAATCGCTTGATCACCAGTTGTCCCTGACATCCCAGCGATTCACCCGTCATCAACAATGTCACTGAAGCAGAAGATCAATGATCCCCTTGTGACGGGAGTTGACTGTGCAATTTCCATTCTCACAGTAATCGATGCCGTGTCTGATCTGCTCCCTCCCCTAAAAGCTGCCACCGGAGGGGCACTCTTCATCTTGGACGAGGTCAAGATTGGTGGCGATTTATATGCGAAATTACGCACGGAAGCGCTGATAATTATTGTTCTGTAGATGTTCAAGGAGAACAGGAATCAATGGGAGGCTATACATCGTCAAAACAATGGCTGACGTGGTCACGGCCGTTGACTCGTATGACGCGTCGAGCGAAGAGGGAAAGCGATGTGTAGAAAGTGTTACAATGCTAAGCGAGTAAGCAGCATGTATCCACTGGTCCCCTGGCTCGTAATGACACGACGTTTGGTAGGGCATTGCAGCGTATCGAAACCAAAATCAGTCAATTGCTTCGCAAGATGGGAAAGCGGCCCGCTGTCATCAATTTCATCTCTCACATGAACAATCTGGGCATGATCAGTGACCTCAGGAAAGATTTCTGTGAGGCTTTAGAGTCGTTCCAGGTGACAACGCCCAATCGCTGTTATTGTGTTGCCCCCCTGATCTTAAGGTGACGGTCATCATGCAGGTGAGGACGGGCTTGACCATTGGTGTTATTGCAAGTACAACTCGCGGAATCGAGAGTGCCTCAGCTCTGAGCGAACTCCAATACCCCGTTATCGCCCACCATGATTCGACTAAGGCATGCCTCGACGGCACTAGAATTAATCTCATTGAGTACATTATGGCCTGGTGCTACAACGTGAGGGAGAGTGAGAAACGTGGGATGCTGTTGACTGCTGTGGCCGGTGCTGGCAAGACATCCCTCGTGCACTCAGTCGCAGAGAAGTGTGCGAATGGAGGTGCGCTGTTGTTGAGCTTCTTTTTCAAAGTAGGAGAGCAATCGCGGCCAGATCACCTGTTCAGCGGCATGGCTCGATCTCTAGCAGTGCACGACCCTACCTATCGCACCTCAGTCATATCTGCCCTTAAGAAAGATCCGACTCTCGCGACTGCCCCATTCACAATGCAATTCAGTAAATTAGTGGCTGAGCCTCTCCATCGGAAAGCGTTGCCCTCCGATCGTCCTATGGTGATATCTTGGATGAATGCGAGCAGCAAGCGTTCGAGGACCTAGCCGATATACTTCGAGACGGGGTACCCAAGCTACCAGCCAACATCGAGGTTTTTCTCACCTCGAGACAATTCGACCTTACCAACCAGGGATGTATATAGAATGGTGAGTTCAACGTGACTGGCAAGAACACATTGGGGACGTTTCAGATAACAGACAATGCAGGGAAATAATAGCGCTCATGGTCGTTTGGCACCCTGCACATGCACCAAACAGGCGCTCAAACGATCAGGGTGTGCCAATGATTTGCCTCTGATCTGTATCTGTTTTTGGATCATCACCTGGCATTCATCCACATCTGACACCCAAGCTTTTCTTGCCACCAAGATATCACATACTGGGAGTCGGACATAGTCAGGGTATGGGACCCCAAAATGCAGTGATTAGTCTGTTTGGACACCGGAATTCCTCTTACGACCTCTGGATATTTGGGGTTGTATCTTCCCTCTCTTCAGCTCTCTAAGTGCCCGCGCGCTCGAAATTGAGGTCGGTAGTTAATCATAGTATTCAAAAGCGAGCAAATGGGCAGACGGAAATACAAGAGGAGAAATCACGACCAGGACCACGTCTTAGAAGTATCTGGCCTCGAAGTCACGTCATCAAGCCGGTCTGCTATTCCTGCGACAAGAAATTCAACGAGGGCCAAGATGATTAATCGGACTGCGCCGATACTCCGCACCAGCCGCAGGGATAACCCTGATTTCGGGGACGAAGGCGAAAGCTTGATGTCTCAATCATCCAAATCATTCAGGGGATTTCGGTGGTTATTCGCAGCGACCTCTATAGGCGCTTTACGCTCAGTACTTTGGCTCTTCCAGAAACCCCTGTGAGTCTAGCGGTAGCCCAAAGTTCGTTCCCCTAACATATTTTCCCCACCTCCAGCAGTCTTGCGGTCGCAGTGTACATCATTCTTTTCATCCTTGCCAAAACCACAAACACAATCGACCGTGAGATTCGCCGACTCTTCATTCCTATCTGAAATACCCCTATCATAGTCTCTACTTCCCCTATGTCCCTACGTCCTAAAGCCTGTAGCGGTCGATCTCGATTACACGAAATTCATCGCCATACGACAGGCCTTTGAACCTATTCTGGCCCTTACATCAGGCGCACCCTTACAAACGACGGATGCTGCATCAGGTTCTAGTATTCCAGCCGGAGGCTCCTCTCTCTCCCTCTTATACGATATTCGAAACTCGGAGGCCGCAGTTTGAGATCCAGCTGTTCTTGTCAAATTCAGCGATTTACCATCAAAGGAAGAACTATTGAAGTCGATCAATGGTTTTGTTGGAAATACGAAGGGACTTCAGCGCTTGGGTGCAAAGGTCGGCGGTACAGTTGATAGTGTGCTAGCGTACATCTTACATCAGAATTGCTCCTTCGCGCAAGTTCTGACAATCCAACAAGTACGTTCTCAAAAGACTAGAAGAGATCCACAGGACGACTCCACCTCCACTCCCTTCATCTGCCTCATCTCTCCAAAGATTTATTGACCGCTCCCTCCCGGAATTCCTAAATAGCGCCGAGTTGCGGCGAGCGCGGAATCACGATATCCTCGTCTCAAACTTTCTCTAAGCCTCGAATCATTTAGCGTCGCACTTGCAACGACTGATTATGGAAGCCGAGGCAAATCTAGCACTCCTGAACCGCCTGGAGACTGAACATCATGAACGAATTGATCGGTCGTGAGGGCGCGATGGCCAGGAGAGAGAAGGATAGACTGGTGAGTCCTTACTGAGATGAATAGATCCACAAATTTCCCACCACTGCGTTTGTTCGCTTGCAGAATTTTGGACTTTCCTAGGGGGCAACCATGGCCGTCTGAGAACCCAAGATTCTTACATTGGGCTTCTCGGCTCGCTCTCAATATATCGTAATGAAGCCCGCAATCGGATATCTCAGACGATCGAGGAGTTGACAAAATTGCAGGAGAACCTTGAAGAGCTTCGTGCTCGCGTAGCTGAACCTGGGATCAGTACGCTAAGTTCTGGGGCTGAGGAGAGGGTGGGTCCACCAGGGGATTGGTAGGCGGGGTACCACTCGAGGTGCATGTGGATAGCATAAGAAGAGGTATAGTGAGGCTGACGTCGTTTAGGCAAGGGAGGCTTCAAGTGTGAGTTTTTTTTTCCCGAGGGTTTTCTTCTTGTTGGTTCTGGCTGATTCTCCGTGATTTTAGGGAGAACGAGAGGGTTAATAGGATGATAGTTGATGGTGGAGTCGAGGCTCGAAGTACTCAGCGAGCACTTTCATCTGATAATGCAAAAGTTGCGCAACGCTAAGTCAGTTCATAAGCACTACCCATTACGGGCCAGCTGTAACTCCAAACTTCCCCTTCTGGACGATTCATTCGCCTCAGTTTCCTCTTACTCATGTGGTTTGGATCTTAGTACGCGACTCGTAAGTTTCTCATTTCTCCGGGGCTCCGAACGTATCCAACATCATTTCAAAAGCTAGTGCCGGGCACTCCAAGCGAACGTGACCGTTCGACCCACTGAGTCATATTTCCAATCAGCCAGGCGTCATTGATCTCATTTTTTTTGGCGTGTACATGCATATAGCTTCAGCGTCTTTAGTTGAATGAGGAACATGATTAACGCATGGGTACACGTCCGTGCGGCGGTAAGTGCGTCATCCCCATCCCAACATTGCACGACAGCAAGGATGGCGCGAATTCGATCATTAATAAATGCCGGGTCGCAAGGTAGTCGGCTGCTCTCGCTGTGACAGGCCCCAGTGCTGGCCGAATGATGGAAGACCCCTTAGTTGCACGCGCGCTTTACTAGTAATCTAAGCTAATTTGCGCTCAACATTAGGGTTCATAATGACACAGCAAACAGATTTGAAAGAAGAGTACTGCACCAAAAGAAGTTTGCCGCTCGAATGCTCAGGGCCTGAATCCCACTCCACTTTCGTGAGTGAGTTGGAACCCTACTGATCCGCTATTCTTCCAACTCATGAAGATAGCGTTGTTAAGTGAGGTTCGCCAGTATCTGGGGTTGATAAGTAATCCCACCGTATCGCTTGGATGTTCATTAACCACGCGCCGCGCGCGCAGCTAGAAGGGGAACTCCACACCAGGGGTCTAGTCTACTACCGGACTCGTACCCAGTCGTCGTCGCTCCGTGGACGACGACTGGGTACGAGCCTGATATTAAGCCAGTAAATGGGAAGAATATCGTCCAGGATTTGCAATTGTAGGCCCTGACCACCTATTCGAAAATTTGAGGGATCTGAAGCAAATTCGGAACCTATCTAGCCGTTGCGCAGCCAGAAGGACAACTCCTACTCCGGTGACACTCGCCAGAGTGCCTATTACAAATACCATCCTCGTCCCTTGATAGTATCTGTCGACGGGGTAGGACCCCAGGGGGAACAACCGTAGCTCATCGACAATAACCTTCCCAGCAGCGGTAAGGCAGACGAACAAAGTCAGCGGGCATTCGATTGGGGTGATGTTGAGAATCAGAGCCATCCCTCAAATGAACGCCTCAGTTCCGCACCAGAGATGTCGCCAAGCAGAACTGAGCAACAGAGGACCACATGCACAGCAGTGATAGTTGTGATCCACAGCAAATGGGGCCAGCTCTCCCTAACGTGCGCGCGCGTCAATCATCTCTTCGACTCAATACCTCACTATCCTTTCTTGTTGTATTTTGATACACAAAAAAACCTGTGTACTGTAATCAGGACTCTCACTTGAACGTTCATCAGTCCAGAAAGTATCCAAAGAAGAACGGTAACGTGGCAGTGGTCATTATGATTCCCAACGGGCAATTGGCATGTTATGATTGAACTAGTCCCATGCACGGAGCCCGTGCAGCATTGGCAGATCCGCTGCATAAAGAAAAAAAAATTGGATGCGCAGATGTCTACCTATCTAGTCAATATACAATCACCGCTTTTTCCCTAGTTGAAGCGCGCTTGTCCGCTGGATTTCCGCATCCCCATCTGGCTGCAGGCAGGTACGTATGCGTGTTCCCGCCCGCACATACACACACGCAACCACGCGCCGAACCGAGCATGGGAACAGAAACACTAGTTGTCGTCCAATAGCGGGAACAAGTGGGGGAGGGGGGAAGCAATTAATAATGTTTTCCAGGTTCAATTATCGATTCGCTCCTGGGCGCGCGTCAATCATTTGAATTAGGTGAGGGATACACGTTCCTTATGCTGTGGTACAAGTATTAGCGACGATCATGACATCAAGTTACCTAAGAGCATCGCGATTGGAGCACAAAGCATGGGGTAATTCTGGGAAGATTCTGATTTGGGCCCGCATGTTACACATACGAGGCCTAGCCAACCACTATAATTCTCAGCGGATAATTGGCGCCTTTGGTGATTTTCCTTGGGGTGTCACGTTGAGCAAGGAAGTTTGGCAGTTGCTGTGAATAGATTTCCAGCGGCCCGACCCGCCTTCCGGCAAGTTAAATAAATGTGAACTCGGTATTTGGCGCTTCTTTGCTATATTACATAATTGCATTGTCGCAGAATTGCCAAATTCATTTGTTTCATTTGGAACGTATGCTCCGATCAACCGGGAAAATAGATGCAACTCTTCAGCTGCATTAGGGAACGCAATATCCCCCCGTTGCGCCACTGCTCCCTCTTGCTGATACGAAGAAGTAAGAGAGCATTTCGTCAAAGGCAGTGTTGAGGATTCAGACACACAGTGACGAATACTGACCGAGAATCGATATTGTTGATTGCAAATGGTCTGTTCCAGCTCAGGGAAATCCGTGCTTCTACTTAATTTTTGCTTGACAATGGATATATTGGGAAGAAGATCTAGACGATTTGGGAAATAACATGAAGCCGCAATCAGTGTTGAATGAGTTGGAGTAAGTAAGAGTCAAATTCGAAAGAATGCTTCCTCTACATAGAGTATGTAGATCAATTATATTACGACTTTGCAGAGGTTTCGCGCCGGTTTCCTCATCTTCGTGACAGCAGTCATTATGATTCCCAACATTTGGAGTACCACATTACATGATACCCATCCCAGGGACTCCGCAAATGCAAATCATACATATAGTTCCCATTCTCATTACAAAACCATTCTTTTATAAAGTTCGAAATGGGTGCAATCCTAGCCCCTGGTCACAAGACGCCCATTCCCACCGGTGCCCGCCACCCCCCCCACTTTACAATGCCAGTACCCGCTGTACCTGTGGTGATCATAAGCGTGGTCACTGTAGTGGCTGTTTTTGGTGTTTGGTACTACATGAAGCAGATGGACGAGGCACGTCTTGATTCATGCACCAAACCTTCAGTGAAGCGAAAGCAGAAGAATCCTAAGCAACTCGCGGAACCGATTCAGTCACCCATTGAACTCTCCTCGCCGGATGCCAAGGATCGTGCAACCTCTTCAGCTTCAAGTGACTCCGTTCAAAAGTACTCTAGCCAACTCCGGAACAGGCATGCATTTCCAGCAAGTGCTGCGATGACGAACCTTAACGAGGTAACGGAAGGATACTTTTCATCCCGCATCATTATCTTACCATTCCCCTTAGTCGGACTCACACACCTTTCAAGTTCTGCAGACGCCCCCATCACCCAGTGCAGGAAATGCAGAAATTTCGGGTCATCGCGACCAGATTATACCGAATCAGATACAGAGAAGGGGTAGCCCAACCAAGGCTCACTTCATCAAAAATCTGGTGGAACTCCAACCGAACACGAACGCCGATTCTCCTCGCTAGTCCGTTCGGTCAAACAAAGATGCCAATACGTTTTTGGAAGGTTCAGATGGTTTCGAAGGGATCACCCTAGCGCCGCTTCCCAGCGGGGATGTTTCAAGGTCCTACTACATGAGTGACCAAACACTATCGTAAGGTGCTGTATGTCGATAATGTCCCACTCCTCCATGCCACCGTCGCTCGCCTGCATGGGTCGTTCGATGTTCCATATTCTCGGTTTTCAGGCTCCCTTGCCTACCCTCCTTTTCCTCATCCTCCAGGGCTCTCACATCTTATCGCCTACATTTTACCCTCTCATCCTGTTATATGGTCCAAGTTTCTTTACTTTTTACTTTTCATCATTGTTCGACGACCTCTCACCACTGAGTGCTGCTCGCGTATAAGAAAACGAATTTTTTTAGGACTCTTCTTCCTCAGATCTCTAGCTCCTTTAACTCGTTCTTAACAAGCGCACAGCCGAGTTTCTGGAGTTGATGAAATTGCACAATGACCTTCAAGCTAGTAGTTGACGACCTGTCGGGCTGAGCCTTGATCCGTACGCTGAGTTTTGGGGCCTCAGACTCGGGTAATTTCACCAGAGGGACTAACAAGCAAACTCCCACTCGAAGTACATATGGAGAGCATAAGAAGTGTGCGACGAGGTTGACGTCGACGTCGATCGTTGAGACAAGGTGTTAAGTTTGTTCGGTGGTTCAATTGTAACTGCTAGTACGCTGTAACGCTGCATGCAGCGCTTCTGGCCAGAAAGTTCCCACTTTCTCTCGATCCTCAGTTCACACATGCACATCTCGAACTGAAGCACAATTACTTGTTTGCAGTTCCTCAACCCATATAACGGCGGGCCAGCCGCATGCAACTCTGTACTTTCTCTCTTGGACATTTCTTTTTTATCTACGTTTCCTCGTTCATGTAGTTCTGCATTGACTCGGAAATCTTGCATGTTTCTTGCTCAAATTATATGTCCTAGTTGGCCCCCACGTATACAGCTGAGCCTGGTTGCATGACCAGTGAAGACTGAAGCTTCAATTGACTGGCCAACGCAAGTCACTCCCTAATCGATCTCTTGTCTTATCACTCTACCATCTCGCTCTCAGTCCGATTCTTGATCTTGTCGTGTCATATTTTCAGTTTCCACGTTTCATCGCCATTTTGGTTCGTGACGCGCTGGGCAACGCTGACGTAGTAACTAGCATATATTCGTGGGCATCAAACCTTGAACTCGTTTCACATGGATGCATAATACCAGCTAAAACTCCAGCCTCATACTGGCACGATACGACATGCATGACTTCACTATCCGACGCTGGGCTTAATTTGACGGGACTAAGTAATCACCAGATGGGGCCCTGACACTGCCCCAAACTGCACATGCGTTGCTTCGCCTGTCACATGGACCTCTTAATTCCTCCATGTGTGTTTCTGTGCCTGGCTGCTTTTGCGTTTGTCATGATATTCGTTCTCATCTCATGTGTACCGATCCTGGACTGTATGTATCCTGGCTCAGCTCATCACGGACGTGCTAGCAGAAGTGTCGAGCTCAGTGCAATGGGGTCACCACCCAGGACATCTGACCACCACCATATATGAACTTTCACTACGCTTCTGGGAACTAGTACACTTGGGCTGCTCACTTTTGTTTTGTTTTTGTTTTTGTTTTATTTTGTGTTGAGCAGAACGAGCACTCATGGAGTACCAGTGTCTAAACATACTACTAGTTGCCAGTGCCATCACTGCTATAATACCGTTCGCTTTGACCACCCTGTTTTTTCTTGTCGATCTCCTTCCCCCCCTACCTCGATCATGCCTGCGCAAAACCAAGCCCCCACATATTCGTTCCCACGCGCCACTGCCTCGGAGCGTTCTGCTATCACGCATACGATTCTTTTAGTGTGCTTTACGTTTGAATTCTTGTTTTTGTTCTTTCACCTCATGTTCAATATCTTTTTGTCTTACATTCACACCAGGATTGGCGCGTTGCCGCTATATCGCCTAATCATAAGTACTGACCACCCCACCCACCCCAGCCGGCGTTCCAGGCTCGTCAGAGCAGCTGCCAACACTGGTAAACACGGTCGCACAAGTCGGAGCCTGAGGATTCAGTCCCTGTGCAGCGACGACGGTGCCATTGGGTTAGCGCTCGTAAATCGTCAAACCAGCCGATCGTGAGATGCTCCCAGTACGTGGATTTTTGCTGCAAAGCTCACATGTACGCAAACGGGCAGGGCGCTTAGTCAGAGTAGCGTGACGAACTGCTTCGACGTGTGCTGAAACTTCTTCGATTGACGGGCACCCAGTGGTACAATAGAGTCGAAGACGCAGAAAATAGATAGAGATCAATGGACGGCGGTAAAGTAGCACCGGACAGGAGATACACGAAGGGGAAAACATAAGAAACAAGAAACAAAAAGCGAGAAACGACAACTGTCATACGGGGACTCTTTCGCTAGTGAACAATAATGGATCGTCGCGGAGAAAGTGAAAAAAAGAATAACTAATTGACATGAAGGGAAAAGATAAGTGAAAACTGAGGTGTAGGTACATTTCAGGACCACAGGATAATCAGATCAGATCAGTAACCTGGATTTAGGTATGATGGTGACGCGGCGTTGCTTACACCAAAGGAAGTAACGCAGAGCTCAATAGGCGTGCATCTCAGTCTAACCAGTGCAGTGAAAAGTAATATTGTACACAACTACCTGGATGAATACACGTCTAAGATAGGTGAAACAGAGTGGAACGGATCCCAGCACGAATTCAGGCAAAAGAAAGGAACTGTACTTACAGTAAACATGCTTCTAGCGCACCATGTGACGGAGCTGAGCTATAAAATCGACTAATGTAGGGGAAGCTCCCGCCAGTGGCGTAACCCAATGTTAGTGGCGAAAAATACACGAGTGGACCTGATCAACTTACCATGAAATTTGCTCCTTGCCCAACAATGAGGGCAACATAAGATGTTCCTGGACATGTAAGGATGTCAGCATGAGTCTCAATGTGAGAGGAGAAATGATACTTACGGCCAAACCTGTTGGGTGGACACTATGCGAGCCAACTGGCTCGCAAAGTTCCACCCTAACAGGAAAGGGGCATGGACAACAGGTGCAAGCGCCTGTGGGAACATGTCCATACCGACGCCACGAGGGCGTCCCGCCAAAGTGTCCCACTCCCACTCCCGAAATAAACGGGACATACCACTGCATGAACGGATTCAATGAATATTGCTTGCTAGAAAAATCATGATACATACTCGTCATATGACGGAAGTGATGTGTTCGCCGCTTTTGTTGGAAGTATGGCCCAGAAATAGTGATTGATGAGCTACCCAAGAAGAGAAAGACCCGTGACGAAAGAAACCTGGCGACAGGGTACTCCAGAGGAAGTGGGTTGTGACCGAAAGGCAGGAAGGCTGAGAGCTTCAAGGGGGGCGGCCCGGGGCAAGAGTATACGTCGAGACCAGGTGACAGAAACAACATGTTGGAGCGGAAAGGAAGGTGGGTCGTTCTTTCTCACTATGCATCCATCGGATAGAAAAGGGAGAAGGGCGTGTATGGGTTCCTGCACTCAATTTACCTCTTCTTTGTTGTCTACTCCCCTTTGTCGATGGAACCTGCAAAGCGCGTCGAATCCGTAAGGTGTACAACGGGTCATCGGAGTCCATGGGCAGCCCAAATGGTCATAGAGGGAAAGCAGGATGTGTAGACCCGATAACCAGTAAAACTGATCCACAAGCAGTTCGCCAAAGCAGACACGGCCAGGTTGCATGAAAATGAGAGCTGTGATCATAGGTCGATTGGATAGGTGAAGGGGGCATCTCTTGGGTGCGCTAATAAGTGAAAAATTGGCTGCCTAGATATAGCCCACAGCATCAGGGTCCGATAGGGTTGAGGCCGCGAAAGGTTTGGAGTGGCTACCAATGAGACATTGATGATCCGAGGATGGTGAAGGCTGGCGACGACTAGAGTTCCGGGAGCAAGGGCGCAGGGCAAAACGAACGGGCAGACTGGTCAGAACTGCGAGCGAAAGTGAGTCGTGCTCCACGGTTGCGCATCCATCGGATTGAAGGGGCCCCATGTGTCCTTGCACTTGATTCAGTTGGTTGTTGTTCGCTTCCTAGACGATGGAATCCACAAGGCACGTCGGTCGCAGGTCGATGAGAAGGCCAAGGTGCCAAAGTGCCGTGAGCGAAGATCGACAGCCTAGAAATCATCTAAAATGTTAGAGTCGTTGCGTAATAGGCAGGGAACCTGTACAGGGACTTGAAGAATTGCAGATGGGTCGAATGGCAGCATGGGTGACGTGCTAAGGGTATCAAGTGAAGGGGTAGAAGATTGATGGGGGAACGTCAACGTGGACAATGAGTGGGACGTCGAGGGCCTTGATTCATGGAGTGAAAGGGGTTCAGAGACCAGGCTTCGAGAGACAATCCAAGGACGTCAAAGGCGAGTAGCGACTGGGGTTCCGAGAGCGAGGGGGGAGAAGAAGGAACTGGTGGGGAGAACTTATGCTCAGACCACGCTTTTATGCCTCTCGGACGTATTCAATCCTCTCTTTGTGATGACCAAGCTCCAGACTGCTGAAAGAATGAATAAAACCTTCCAAATTCAGCCACCTTCTTCGTCGAAATTCCAACCGGCGATATGAACATGATCCCAGAATACGTAGTTGATATTTCACGAATTTCGAAATTTCTTGTCAGCCAGTGCACCGTTTGGCTTCGTTCAACTGCGAAACTGCTCCCAAAACGTCCCGCTACAATATCCGTGAGCAGGAGATTGGGGGACGATACAAGATGACACCAGGAGGGGGAGAGAAGGCGTGTGGGGAAGACGTATTCACTCTTTGGCTAGGAAGATGGCTAGGAAAGATCCGGTCATCAAGGCGATGCATCAGCATATTAGCCAGAATGGTTATTCGTATTAACCGAATTGACTCTATGTAGAAGAATTTGCGCACCCCTGTCAAGGTCATGCCCCGAAACCATCGCTGCACTGGGCCACAAAATTTGCCGCATGCCTGAATATACCTTCGCTGAAGAGTGTAGCGGTGCACGGTGTCGCCGACGCCACTTGGTGGCAAAGAAAACTCCAATCGACGCTTCCACGAATGCGACATGGACCCTTCAGCTGCTGTTAGGGCAATATTTCGTAAATGAGATCAAGTATCCAGATCTTCCCAGCCGATTCAGTCAATTCCAACTTGGTAAGGGATTTCTCCCGAGACACAGATGATGAACCATCTCATTCCGTTGATGGTGAGCGTGGAGAAATGCTCATACAAAATTGAACGATTGGAAGAGGACGGGCCAGATGAGCTCGTGTTCGAACGTCGCGGAAACTTTAGGAAACCAAGCCCATCTCATCAGGAATGCCACCCAAAAAAAAAAAAGGAGATGTGTAACAAGGATTACCTAAGTGTTAGCTAGTATTGTGATGAATGAGGAAGGTTCGTTCCCACCGGCTGCCCTGCGCTGAATGGATGGGCATTGGACCCACACTCCGGGTCCGCCACGTGCCAAGGGCAAGCACAAGCACAAGGCACAGCTGCACGAGACATCACAAAACACAGGCAAAACACGCCAATGGCAAGCCGCACTCAGCAATTGCAGAAGTATACGTCCAGCTGGGGGAAAACTTCAAATCTTGTGGCGAGCGCTCACAGTCCCCTGTGTGGCGAGATGGTTTCTCGGCTTATACACGTTGAAGCCATAACTGATAAATCACCCCCAATTGAACGCTTGGTTTTGGCATCCGTGGGCGGCTTCTGTTCATTACAAAATGAGTGGTGGAACGCCGACGTAAGTCTCATCATTAGCCTTTTCGCTGCATCTGCCACTGAAGTCAATGGTTCCAGGGTCACATTTGCTGCAGAGAGCGCTCCCCATTCATGTACATCTTCATGCATCAAGTAATGCTCAATGTCAAGGCTGTACCCGTCTACCGTATTGGCTGCACCATCTGATCAGACGAAGCGACCCATTCCTGCCGTGCGATCGAACACTGCATATCAAGGGTGAAGGCTGCGTGCGATGTAAACGCCACTGGTGCTCTCAAGGAATGATGCAACGATTTCTGAATGCCTGAACTTTGTCAATAGACATCAGGTCAATATGGAGATTGCAAAAGATCAAGAACTCCGTTTTCACGGGAATGGAGAGATACTCTGCCCCCCATTCCCGTGAACAACGGAGGCATTGACCTTCAGGTCACATAACGACTGATGGACAACGAACACACCAGGCTTGTCCTAGGAATCGCAAGGCCCGCAGAGTCCCAACTCATGCGCAGCAAATGAATAGTTGCGGTGCCCGTTATTAGCATGGGTGCCAGTCAGTTCAGCATGAGCAACTCTAATCATGTTTCGACTCTGAACGCTGACGCATATTTCCCGGTTACAAGCATAAACATCGTGCACGAGCCCCAAGGTGATTGTTCTATTCTGAGACATACAGCGACGAGGTCCGAGAAAGTTTCCAGAACGTCCCAACCACCAGCTAGAGAGACGCCTGATCGATTTCCGCTCATCTTCAAGGATGGATAAGGCGAAGGTCCTGTGCTGCGAGAGGAATGGACAAGGTGAGAGACAGATGACTCAGTGCTCTAAATGGAAGTTCCTTCCATACTTTCTTATCCAACTCGTTCGAGCGTTGGAGGACTACAGCATGTTAGTTCGTGACAGCGATATGGACTATTGTAGCTGTTGTTTCATCTCCTCACCTCCTTGAAAGTGACATCCTGGGGGAGGTGAAAGCTTGTTGAGGTGCATCTCCGATTCCGTGATCTCACTGGAACGATATCCTCTTATTCCCGTGCATGTGAGGCCAAGGGTTCTGGAGCCTTGTCCTAGCCCAACCGTTCTCCCTCGCTTCTACCGGTAGGAGACGGAGATGCCCCGACACTGCCCGAACTTCCGCGGCCGGTTCACGTATGAAGAGTCTTGTCTATTCCCTAACCGAACCATCCGTACCGCTCCGTGCGAGTAAGTGTTCGTTTCCACCATACGAGAATGAACGTGTGCGATTCGGGTGAACGCACAGAAAAATTCAATTCAGGACACCCGGCAGCTAGCGTGAGTATGCAGAATGCAGAAATTTTACTTGAACCCGTTTCCACCACCATTCCGTCTTTTCGTTTTGGCGACCGCTTTCGCGTTCCTGCACCGATCGATGCTCAACTCGTCAATTTATTGACTTCCTACAAGACTCGCTTGCGTTTTAGTGGCCTCAGACCTCATGTTCTTCTTTCTTTCTGCCTACAATCCGCTGGATTGCTTCGATTCTCTACCCGCAAACACCCATATCCATTACTCTACAAGTGCTTCATGAATGAGTCCCATACTCCCATGAATCTTGAGTACAATTACATAAATGTTCTCTTTCAGAACTGGGTCAACCAGGCTTTGGAGTACAAGTTCCTCCAAAAACTCCCTCCTAGCACACCAGCCCACGGTAACCGAGAAACTGGATCCGCGATCCGAGGGTCCCCGCTTTTCCTGAGTGGACGTGCCAAACTTATCGAACAAACACTCCAGGTGGTTGCTTACACCGAACGGTCCCGTCATTCGTTGCTTGTCTTTGGGCTGCTAATTGCTCGTGGTGCCGCTGAACCCAGTGGTTATGAAGCGCTGCAGCCAGTGTACTGCAGTTCTGGTGAAGGGGGGTCTCCTGAAGAAAGCATAACTAGCTAGTATCGTCCCGTCAGCTCGTCTCGAAAGATCCAGGAGGTGCCGCTGCCGCGCATCGAAATGAATTGCCTGACTCGGACGGTTATCATTCGTAATCGCTTGATCACCAGTTGTCCCTGGCACCCTAGCGATTCACCCGTCATCCACAATGTCACTGAAGCAAAAGGTCAACGATCCCCGACGGGAGTTGACTGTGCAATTTCCATTCTCACAGTAATCAATGCCGTGTCTGATCTGTTCCCTCCTCTAAAAGCTGCCACCGGCGGGGCACTCTTCATCTTGGACGAGGTCAAGGTTGGTGGCGATTTATATGCGAAATTAGGAACGGAAGCGCTGATCATTGTTCTGCAGATGTTCAGGGAGGCTTTTGGAACATACATCGTCAGAACAATGGCTGACGTAGTCACGGCCGTTGACTCGTATGATGCGTCGAGCGAAGAGGGAAAGCCATGGATAGAAAGCGAGTAAGCAACATGTATCCACTGGCCCCCTGGCTCGTAATGACACAGACGTTTGGTAGGGCATTGCAGCGTATCAAAACTAAAACTAAAATCAGTCAATTGCTTCGCAAGATGGGAAAGCGGCCCGCTGCCATCAATTTCATCTCTCACATGAGCAATCTGGGCATGATCAGTGATCTCAGGAAAGATTTATGTGAGGCTTCAAAGTCGTTCCAGGTAACAACACCCAATCGCTGTTATTGTGTCGCCTTTCTGATCTTAAGGTGGCGGTCATCCCGTAGGTGAGGATGAACCTGACCATTGGTGTTATTGTAAGTACAGCTCGCGGAATCGAGAGTGCCTCAGCTCTGAGCGACCTGTCGATCGCATCAGCATCGATCTCTCCGACGGTGCGAACGTGGATGACTGTGCTACCTACATCCGTATGCAGCTACGGAAACTGAAGGATGTGCATCCTAGTTTGAGAGACGGACTCGGAGAAGAGGACAAATTGATTCAAAACATCCTGGAATGAGCGGGTGGGTTGTTCATTTGGATCAGTACCGTCTTTCATTACATGAAGGTGGCAAGTGGCGACCCTATGAGAACGCTGGAGAAATTGATTGATACGGGCGCTAACCGATCAAAGGCCCGAGCCGAGGAAATGATGGACAGCCTGTATACGACCATTCTGAAGAAGTGTAATTGGAAGGACGAAGATTTTGTGCATGACTACCCCATTGTGATGGGAGCAATCTTGGTTGCGCAACAGCCATTGTCAGTTAGGGCTTGGGATGCCATACTATCACCGCTCCTTAAGTCTTCCATACATCACACATTAGCCGAACTTGCACCCCTCCTCTTAGGGGTTAGGGAACCTGATAAGCCAATTCGTATTTACATCAATCATTCCACGACTTCCTCAGACCGAACCGAACCAGAATCCTCAGCACTTCATCGTTATCTGGTGGATACGAAAAGGGAAAATATCCGAGTGGCCCTGCATTGCGTTGAGACCTTGAATGAGGATCTTTGCCGTCTGGATGGTTTGGGGTTAATCCAAAAGTTGCCGGAAAAGGTCGAACTGTCCCCCATTCCTCCAGAAACGCTGGCCGAACACTTCCGTTACGCGCGTCGGCATGTTGTGTGTCACCTCAACCAAGTTTTGGAGCCTCCAGAGAGGCTCAATGCGTTGGTCCTCGCATTTTTAATCAGTAACTCACACGCTGGGTGAAAGTCTGTGTGAGGGGATGGAAGGATAGATCAGTATATCTTCGTTCCCTGAATGGGCCAAGGTACGAATCATTACTTTTCATCCTGTGCATCATTCTCATCTCGTCTGGTACTCCGTCAGTTGAGTACTGATGTGTGTTCAAAGGAAGCGATGCAGAAGTTGGCCCAAGTACTTAACAGATTGGAGAGGAATTTGGTCATTTTTTTTTCAAGATTTCGGGAGGGGCACGAGTTTGCGAATGATTCGGTTGCACTTTGGCGTTGTATCACTCCAGAATCTCTGTTTGGTATTCGCCGAACTCATTATCTTTCCCTCTCTGTCTCTGTCTTTGGCTTTTATTCGGAGGCGGAATTTGGCGGCTTTCGGATGTCGATCTGACGTTCCCATCAGAACCATTTCTCGTCCAAGCAACTTTCACATTTGTCTTCGCTCGCCCCACTCACTGGCAGGTGGCGTCTATGCACAACAACCGCTAAGCAACACCCTCTTCTTGAGTGGACTTTGGCCTCTTGACGCTGTCCGACGTTAGGTCTTAGCAGTGCAGTCCAGCGGTGAAATATAGTGTCTACAGCAGTGGGTGTGACTGTCGATCGATCTCTATCGCAGATACTCTAGCTATTTACTGGCGCTGAGTGTTGGCCTTTGAATTGATCGGGTGTATCATTGCCGCAAGAAGGACTCTGAGCGTACATATTTCACGGTTACAAGTGCCGATCGTGATAATATAGTCATCATTGACCGAATGCCATGCCAGACCCTGTCACTCCTTCCCTCAAGTGTTAGAGTCCCATACGCAGCGTCCCTCCTGATACTCAGTCTGTGCACTCAATAGCCCTACCGTCGGTCAAGATTGACCATCCTAGTGAATGCCGCCCCCCTCCCCCCAGCAAATCCGATGAGTTCCCTGCGCAGGTGTCGAACGTTTCCAACAGCATACTCAGTCAGCCTGAGTGACGTACCGCTTATAGCACCGGACCATCTGCATTCAGAGCGAGTGAGTGGATTGGGTGAAATGTGCACATAACCATAATAGATGCTCTTAAATAATGTTAAATCTGTATACAGAAGGCCCATTACTGTTTAAAAGTTGGAATATTGATTCTCCCGTCTATGTATAGCCCACTAGGGTCTAATTTCTGCGAATGGGTTCAGGACTTCCCAGCTCTTCGAACGATGCGGGCTCTGCATCCGGCTCGCGAGCTTCCTGGGCCATCCACTGGGAGGGTGTTGTGGTTGCCCTCAGGTCGTGGCCCTACCCTGGGGGGATGATCACAGCATAGATCCTGTCCCCAGACTCTAGCTCGGGGTTCTGGTTGTCTGGCACCCACGGTAGCTGGCAGGACGATGGACAACGGGACATGGTGACTTTCTGTCATGCCCAGTCCACTTCCGGGTTGTGGTGGAGCAGCCACAAGTGCCCTATGATGAGGGATTGTTGTTCAAGGTTTGCAACAGTGTCAGGGCCCGGCCCTCGTTCCGCGACGGGCCCAGGGGGGTCCTCCTAGTCGCTGGGGTATCTAGTCCCAGTCCGAGATCTTCGAACTCACTGAGGGGGCTAGCCCCAGCCTTCACAGGAAATGAGTTGCTGTGCATTTTAGGGAGAAGGTAGTTACACTTGCCTTCACAGGAAATGAGTTGAGAAGAAGGGTAACCTTCTCAACCTCCTGTGAAGCCGCTTCAAATGGGAGTCGGGAACTATACAGTTTTCGGCTCTTTGCCGACTTTCCATAATTGGCACCCCCCCGTGGGAAGATTCTGGGCGAGCTGCTTGCCCAGAAAGTTCCCATGGTTGTGGCTGTGATGGTTTCTGGGCGAGTAACTCGCCCAGAACGTTCCCACGGGTCTGCATGCATGCGGGATTGTGGAACAGTGAAGGGAAAAATAGGAGAAAATGGGGGGAGGGTACCTGAGGGTGTGTGGGGTCAGGGGCTGTGCCCTGACAAACAGCGAAACGGGCTCGCTCTGTGTGCCACCCAAACGTCAGGAGGGCCTCTAGTTCTTCAGTTATGGCTCCATTCTTGTTTGGGGTCCCATCGACATTGCAGATGGGGATGGGCTGTGGGAGTGGGGTTGTCTTGAGCTTGTGCTTCTGGATGAACTCAGGACTCATGAAGTTCCCAGTGGCTCCTGAGTCTAGGAGGGCAGACACAGACACAGAGGTGAGGGAGGTCAGGGTGGTTAGCTTCACAGTGAGGTTGATGTCAGGGACTGACCCGGGGTCAAGAGTGTCCGGGCATACTGCCTGGGGCTGAGGGCCCGGTAGGGTGTGACATGGGTGTGTGTAGCAACAGGCCTGGTGCAGACAGGTGTCCCTGGCCACTTAGGCTAAAGTGGGAAGTGTGAGAAGGAGGTTGCTTCTCAGTTCCCACTTAGGCTGTGTTTATATACATGTGGTTAAGGCCATGTGGGAAGTGCCATGTCATCTACACACACAGCCACATCTGTCTGGGTACCTCTGCAAGGGGTCCCAGGGGCATCTGGTATGCAGGAGGTCATCTGGTGTGTCTGGGGTAGAGGGGGTCCAGGTGTAGCACCCAGCAGAGGGACCCTCCTAGGGTGTGAAGCGGGCATGCGTACTGGCAGGCCTGAGGTGGGACAGCAGTCCCTGGCCACTCAGACTGAAGTGGAAAAGGTGAATTATGTCAGGGCACACCCACCTGACCTGGCCCCACCTGGCCCCACTTCACCTGGTACCCTGCCACCCAGTCCTCTCCTACCTCCTCCCTTCTTCTTTCTTTCTCTCCCTATTTCACTTTCACTTTATTTTCTCTTTATTCCACATGGACAACCTTTCTCTGTATCAATGTACCATTGACCCACCCACAGCATGCTTACGACACGCCTGGCCTGGGCACTTCAGGCGACCCCCCACTATGTCCAACTCATGCATTCACAGCAGATGCCCTTGGGATCCCTGGGTGACTACAGCTGTATGCAAGGGTGACGTGGCACCCATCATGTGACCCAAGCCGCATGTATATAAACATACCTGAAGTGGGAACCAAAGAAGTAGCCTTCTTCTCACCCTTTTCCACTTCAGGTAAGTAGCATAGCATTCCCTTTAATAATAATAACACCCTTTTCTGTTAGATTGGGCAGATTTGGATGACTCCGGAATGGAATCGGAGACTTAGCGTGGAAGGACCTTGGCCTCAGCGACTCATGTGGAGCGCTGTGCCATTGCTGGTTGTCCTAGGGGTCCCTAATTTTGGATCTAGCAGAGGGAAAGTCTCTTGGGGGCATTTCAGGTCGATTTCGGACTGAGGTTATAAGTTACTATGTACATTGTATATAAGGAGGGGTCCAGAATCAAAAGGAGCAAGGGTACTCTGAAAGGAGACAAAGGGAGCTGGAAAGAGGAACAACACCGAGGGTCAAGGGTTTGACTCAATGGTGTTTCCCAAAGGAGGAGTGAAGGGCCAAGGCCCAAGGAGGAAGGAAGGAGGAAGGGAGTGGGGAATGGCTGACTGACTGAATAGAAAGGAAGCAGCAGCCCAAATAGGAATGAGGGAGAATAGCAGAATTGAATGGAGCAATGCAATAGTTGCAAGGTCCGATGTAAGTCCGGAAAGTCCGAACTCAGAAGTTAAACTCCGGGATATTGGCAAATGTAATTAAATGGAATGAGCTAACCAATACAATGGGTATAAGCAGAGGTGGGGTCAAAGTCCGAGGTCGGAGCTAAGACCGGAGGTTCCGGAGACAGAGACGCGAACGGGATACCAGAGCGGAGGTCCAGAGTTGGGAGCATAGATGTTGTGTGCTCATCTGGAAGGTGTCAAGGATGAGGTCAGACCCAGAATGTTCCGGAGTCGGACCGAAGGTGGTGTTGGAGCTGGAGGTGGGATAACCTCTTGGAAGTTGGCAAGGAGCAGGTGGCAGAAGGGAAGTAGGACTCTGGAAGTCAGTTTCGGAGTTCCAGGAGCCTGGAGCGGAGGTTGGGATTGTACAGATATGACATTTTCCACTTCAGTCTAAGTGGCCAGGGACTGCCTCCTGAGCCAGGCCTGCCAGTACACATGCCCACTCCACACCCCACTCGGCTTCCAGTGTTGGGCGTCTCACCTGGGCCTCCTCTACCCTGGACACTGCAAGCAGGCTAGAGATCTAAATGCAAGCAAATTTGTGGGGAGGGAGTCTGGGATGTCTTAAGCTCATCCTGGGTTCGGTCCGGGTGCTAACAAAACAAAAATAATCACAAAAACTCGTTAAGAATTACGTACCCCTGGTCTGTCTTGGACAATCATCAGGGATTCCTTATAATACTCAAGGAGTTAAGCTTAGAATTTCTTTCTACTTGGATCTCTCAGTGCTACAGTCTCTTTTGTAGTCAAAAGGGAGGTCACTCTTCCATTCCTACGAGTACAGAGCTTTTAAACACATGGAACGGCAATAATGTGGAAAAACAAAGGAAAAGAAAATATGAAGTGAAAGATTGTTGCTACGGACACCATGTGAACTGTTAAGTATGGCCGATAAGTCCAACAGCCGACGTGGAAGTTCAATAAAAGAAAGACAGGAGTGATAAGTGGGCCATATCTGCTAATAATTGCCATCCTCCACCAATTTCCACCATCACACCACACTCATCCATCTCTTCCTACTCATAGCACCCCTTCCTGACCTCTCCATTCGATTCCCTGGGTTTGTAGCTTTCTCCTGATACCAAATTTGTCCCAAATGGTTGAGATTTGACCGAGTGGTGGGCGTGAGAATCGCGAAATTAGGCCCGTGCACAGGTTTAGACGTCCTGAAAAGTGTCCGTGAGAGTCCCTGTGTCAATTGGATCTTCATACACATCCTTTGTGATTTTTCTGAGCACTCCAGAGTGCATTTTGGTTGTTTGTTTACTTCAGTACAGCTTGTGATTTCCATTTTGGGCCGAAACCAGTTTCGCAATCTCCTGAAGTATGGTTCTCAGCTCCGCCACATGGGACTTTGGACACTGCCACCCTCACATGCCTTTCAACATTGTGCGGAACCTCGCAGTAAGATGAAAAATCGTCACCACCATTGTTCCACAATGGCTGGGTCGATCAGGATGAAATTTGGGGAATCCATATTTATGATTTTTCTCTATTTTCTGAGCCCTTGATAGTCTCTCGGTGCCCAATAGTGCCAAGCGTAGTTTTCAGGCTGGACCAATTCAGTACCAGCACATTAAGTGCAATTGTACTCTGTAATAAAATGAAATAAAATGTTTTTATGCACCATGGGCTTTGGTAGCATTGGTAGGTTATCTTCGCATGCAGGGAACCCTTAGGGAGTGTAAACTGCGAAAATACTGGCAGTGTAGAGTATAGTAGGTTATCCCGCCTACAACGCATCCCTGACAAATTATCATTAAAGGGGAAAACTATACTACTTACCTGAAGTGGAAAAGGTGAGAAGAAGGTTACTTCTTCAGTTCCCACTTCAGGTACATTTATATACATGTGGCTTGGGTCACATGATGGGTGCCACGTCATCCTTGGACACAGCTGCAGCCATCTGGGTGTCCCCACAGGGGATCCCAAGGGATTCCACTGCAGGCGTGCATGCTGGGCACAGTGGGAAGCCATCCAAGGTGCCTGGACCAGACAGGTCAACAGCACATTGATACAAGGGAAAGTGGTCTGTGTAAATAGAAGGAATAAACAGGAAGAGAGTGATGGGAAGAATGAAATAAAGAAAAGGGAAGAAAGAGAGAAAAGGGAGAGGGGAGGAGAGAGAGGAAGGAGGAGGGAGAGGAAGGAGGAGGGAGAGGAAGGAGGAGGGAGAGGAAGGAGGAGGGAGAGGAAGGAGGAGGGAGAGGAAGGAGGAGGGAGAGGAAGGAGGAGGGAGAGGAAGGAGGAGGGAGAGGAAGGAGGAGGGAGAGGAAGGAGGAGGGAGAGGAAGGAGGAGGGAGAGGAAGGAGGAGGGAGAGGAAGGAGGAGGGAGAGGAAGGAGGAGGGAGAGGAAGGAGGAGGGAGAGGGATGGGTAGCAGGGCAGTGGGTGAGGTGGGGCTGGGTGGACCCATGAAAGGTATCTTACTATTTTGGGGACGGTAACGTTCCGTTCCCCCGTTCGCCTCAGTGTCAGGGCACACCTGCCTGACCCCGCGCCGCACCCCACGCTGTACCGCACTACCCCGTTATCACTCCCCGTCTCCCCTCCCCCATTTTCCCCCTTCTCTCTATCTCTATTTCTATTTCTATTCTATGGTCGATTTCCCTTTCTCCATGTACTACTACATACCTGACCCCGTGTCAGGGCCCGGCCTCGGACTCGGAGGCTCCCTGACCTCAACCCCCATCTGGCCTGTCCTCACACTATGCGGGGCATGAGATGTATAGTAAAAGGAAGGATAATATATACACTTGCCTATGTGGGGCATGAGATGAGAAGAAGGGTAAAGGTCTCATCTCCCCGCATGGTTGCTATATAAAGGAATGGGTCACATGCCCACAACTATACAGCTCCTAGAGTTGTGTAGTGTGACCCGGAGGGAACATCCAGGTGGCAGTGCCCAGTAAGCATGGGAACGTTCTGGGCAAGTTGCTCGCCCAGAACTGTGGCTGTGACCCGTGGGAACATTCTGGGCGAGCTGCTCGCTCAGAAAGTTCCCACGCTATCCCGTGCGCGCGCGTGTACACAACACACAAAGGCAACAACAAGGCAACAGTCAAAGAATAAAAGGGGGTAAAGTAGGTGGGGAGTCCGGGGCACCCTAAGGCAGGGTGCTGAACCCTGACACCCCACCCCCTGATCGCTGCACGTGCTGCGCACACTCCCGCCTACTGAGCAGCCACCTCCAGGATCTCCCGCGGAGACACCCAGGGAGGTGCGGCTGTGTGCGGAGATGACGTGGCTTCCTCCACGTGACCCTGACCACATGTATATAATAGTGCCTGGGGTGGGAACAGAAGAAGCAGCCTTCTTCTCAACTTCCCACTTCAGGTAAGTACCGTAGCTTTTCCCTTTTAATGATAATCATCAACTTCCCACTTCAGACTAAGTGGTCGGGGATGCTCACCCCACGACGGGATTGCCGCTATGCACAGCCGCTACTCGTCCTACCGAGTCCCACGCGCAGGGACCTCGCCGCTTTTGGAGCTGTCCCTGACACCTTTCTCTCCACTCCTCACTTCCATTTTCATTTTTTCTTCTGTAAGTACAGC